ATGATGATTATCATTATTATTATTATTATTATTATTATTATTATTATTTTGTCTGAGACAGGCCAAGAAAGCAAAGTTTACAGTCATTAAACAATGTGTTTGCACAGTGCTTCATCAACAATAGTAAGTGGAGGAGGGAGGCTTGGTTTGCACTCTGATCCACGTGACTCAAAGGCTCATATTCTTTTATATCTTCTCTTTCTGTCCTGATCATTAGACCGGGAGAAGGGTGTGCAATCTTTCAGACACTCAAGTCTTCAAACCGTCAACTTGTCAGTGAGCTCTATACCAATAACATCAAGTCTTTCTGAATGCAATGCAAGAGGAAACTGGGCTAATATGACTCCCTGTTGTTCTCTATGGAGCTCAGGTGGTTGCCGATTTAGAATGGCTGGGTAGAATTTCTCACTGAGAAGTGCTTTTGCTTGGGTAGAGTGTTGTCCTGTCCCCTTCTGATCCAATCTCTGTGGTTAAGAAAGGGGCAGACTGAATGCATTTCATGATATATCCTTGGACAGATGCTCACTCTCAATCTCCTGGAGGTTGACTTCCAAAGCTATCACAAATCCTTTTCTTGTCTGTTGTGAAAGCATTCTGAATTTCTCTGGGCTCCACCCACACCCACCTAGACAGACATGTACTATGGGCAGCTTGACCTAGCCTTGCAATGACCAAATCTCCTTGCCCACATGCATGAGCCATCTGTGTCTGTGCTGATGAGGAATGTATTGGCATTTCATTTATCACTAGCTACTTCAGAGCTGAATAATGCTAAAAGTTTGCAGTAGACCAAGCTTTAAAATAATGAGTATAGGATAATAAAGGCAAGTCTTTACTGATTTCCAAAATTGTTTAAAAATAAAGCCTAATATCTGATTTTTATTCCAAAGGGAATAACAACCTGGCATCAGATCAAGAGGGTGACATGTATTAAAAACAGAAAATGTAAAAATTGAGACAAAGACAAATGAAGAATTCCAGGAAAATAGTAAGACATATGGGAAAGAGTGAATATAGTTCTTTAAATATATGTTCAAAATGGCATGGCAGAATGGGGCAAACAAAATGAACAAGCCCACTTTTAGGAGCAGGAGCCAAAGGGCAACACACCCAAACTGAGGTTGCAAGGGAACAACACCATGGAGAAAGACAAAGGCCAGACTTTCTGCGTGGGGAGCAAAATATTTGTAACCGCTCATCCCTAAGAGGTTTCCTTGTAATGCTAGGAGAATGTTTTCATTTGTCTGAATCCAATATGAACAAGAGGTAAAGGAAAGCCCCTGTCCAGAATCCAGGGTACCAAGCAGACTTGGTCTGTGGGGTACCCAATCCACGGTACCCCACAGACAGGATTTATCAGAGTAAATTACTGTGCGCAAAAACAAATGTCCAATTAGAGGAGGCCTCTCATTTTCAACAGTGATTTCCGAGAGTGTATCCTCACCTGTCCTCCTTGGGTCTCAAGCTTCCTTTCCTATAGAAGCAGTGGGATGTGATATAGTTTTGGACTAGGGGAGGTAACACAGTATACCTAAAAATTTAAAAGTGCTGGTCTGAGTTCTGTAACTTAGGAGCAGGAATCATTAGAGAAAAGAAACAGCAGCAAAGATTTGTCTTGTTGCTCAACACAGTTCCCAACACACACACAAATATGAAGGAGGGAAAACATTTCTCCTCTGAAGGCCCCTGTGTCTTTTGGCCTCCCTTTGCCTGCCTTACAGCAATGGCCTTCTCAGATATGCTCTATTCCTCAGGGACCAGCCACACTATGAAAATATCCTTTATTTGTTTTCCTAAATAATAATCAGAAATGCTTACCAGTCTCTAGAGTGCTTTAAGAAGAGTTTGACTGAATCAGTTAATGCTAAGGAATAAATGACAGGTTTGCCCATTCTGTGTGTGTGTGTGTGTGTGTGTGTGTGTGTGTGTGTGTGTGTGTGTGTGTGTTTTGCTGTGTGTGTGAGTGAAACACATACAATAAGGGCATGATGGAAATAACTAGCTTTTTTAATTGCATTAATGTTGCAGTTGGGAGAGTTAAATAATAACAATATTCAAGAACAAAGCCAAGAGGCCAGTGAGATGCTTATTAGGTAAATGTATAGGTGAAGCTACCAAGATTGATGACCTAAGATTGATCCCGGGGACTCATATTATGAAAGGAAAAATCAAACTCCCACAATTTGCATACACACACACACACACACACATATTCAGAGAGAGAGAGAGAGAGAGAGAGAGAGAACTAATAAAAATGTAACAAAAAAAGAATGTAAAGCTTCATGTAGTAATAAAACTGTAAAGAAAAGAAAATGTGATAATATGAAACACCTCCCTCGTGTCTGCTTGACATGAGGGAGGTGCCAGTTAAGGTTAAACACAACTGCAGATGAGCAGGCAGTTTTGTGCACATGAAGAGAAGAGTGACTCGTACAGTCAGTGAATCCCCGTGATAGCAATGAATTCACTTGTGGAGAACAGAAACGGGGTGGTAAGTCCAAAGAGCAGTGGACAAAGAGAAAAGAGGGCAATGTCAGGGAATGGCCAGATGATGTAAGTCTGCAGGTGAGACTGATGCCTCTGAGGTTTGTCCTAAACGAGAAGAGGAGCTATCTGGAGACCATAAGCAGTACGTTGGTCTTATCTGCTTCTTCAAAAGATCCCCAGTGGAAGCAGAGACAGGCAGGAGACTGCTTTGCAGGGTCTGCATAAAGAACAATTGCGAGACAGAAGGAGGGGGCCGTTCTATGGACCCATGGATTACATGTAGGATGGAAGGCATGCTGGAGTTGAAGATGAAGGAAAAACAGGAATCAAGGCCTCCCTGGTGGACGATGGTATTGTTTTTCTGAAAAGGTCAAGTCTGGAGAGAACAGTTTTGGGTGAAAGCCTGAAGTCATTGGGTTGCTGAAAATGGACATGACAATGAGGAGCCGCAAATCACACATCACACATTTGACATGGATGCAGGAAAGCTGAGTGCTATGTGACTCCCCTGGGGAAAACTGGTACTTATGTGCATCTGGCAAGCACTGGTTTAGAGATGGTATGTATGCCATGAAGACTGCTCTTAGGGAATTGTAGAAAGAGAGGGGATAGGGGTGGAGACCAAGCTGTAGCTTCTGTCATCAGTCCAAGGCTAGAGAGACTCTCTGGAAGCCTCGTACTGCACCTAGAAGAGTGACTTAGAAAAAGGGCCTTCCTCTACTGACAGGTGTAGCTTTCAAGCACTAGGAAGAGTGGGGACCTGTATGAGCATCCCCCTCCCTCCAACAGCACATTAAGGAGCTCTTGGTACCTGCTGGTATGATGATAGAAAAGCTCATTCACCCTCAAAGCCAGAAACCTTTCCACACATGTTCAGAACAATACTGTAAAAGATATTTTTAATGAGACATGTGGCCATTCAATCCTGCCCCACTGAGGCTGGAAGAATAGTGTGGGGGAAGTTTTCAGCTCCTATCTGGCCATTACAGAGTCTAAGTATTAGAGTAGAAAGAGAAAGCAACTCATCAGACATTAGATAGTAGCACTTCTACTTCACAAGTATCAAGACATCAGCTGGGTCTGATGGCCAGTGGTGACTAAGAGCAGGCTGATGTGACAAGCATTTTACTTTTTGTCTTAATTTTGTCCAATTGTAACAATCAAGTGTCGTGTCCCAGAAACAATAGAATCATTTTCCCTTTCTTTGTAGGTGTCTGGGATACAGTTAAACAGATGTCAGGATCATTATGATGAAGGCCATATGAAGGCCACATAGTATAGTCAGTTAGCATCTTTAATTTACATAGCTTTTGAGGGTGAGGGGATTCCATATGCACACACACACATCATGCATATACACATGTATACACATGTATAGATGTATGTGCACAGACATACACATATACACATATTTCCCGGGATTCTCTTTTTTTAGGGAACATGATGTACAGTTAATATTGTAAGAAATCACAGGCGATTTCCCCATATTACAACAAAGAAGGCTATGCCCCAATGGGAAACATTTCTGGCTGAGCAGAAAAGCCATTACAACAACTAATAGTTTTGTTGTATTCTTCTAATAAGTCAATTGTTATGGTCCATTGTTTTTTGGTATGAGGTGTGGTTGAAGTTTACCAAAGCCACAGATAAGCCAGAGGTGCTACGGGTCCCCTCTCTTTTAGCTGGTGGCTGGTCTCAGAACGCTGAGTTAGTCTGTCATGTGACTGAGCCCACGATAAAGGGGCAGTCTCAAGCTCCTTGTCTTATACCATGAGGATAGGGAATTTGAGAAGGGGCAGGTCTTGGCCTATGAGAAGAGCAGATTGGAACTTCTCACAACCAGGAAACTTAAAGCAGCAGCAACAACAACAGCAAACCATTATCTTATTACTCAGCCCATAAAGCAGAGCATCGCTCAAGCCCTATCAAAGAAGCTTCTTGCAGTACATAGGAATTAACAAAGAGATTCACAGCTGGACAATGCGAAGTGAGAGAATGAGAGACTTTGGAGCACTCAGCACTAAATGGGCATATCGATCAAATCCTTCCTGTTGAGGCTTAGGGATCTATGCGCAAGAGGAGGTAGAAAGATTATAAGAGCCAGAGGTGGTGGATGATTCCAAGGAAGCAGGGTCTTCCAGACAAAACAGTACTGATACATATGTGAACTCACAGAGACTATGTGCAACAGCACACACAAGGCCTGCATAGGTTCAATCCAGACAAAATCCCAGCACTGAGAAGTGGCAGGTGACACAAAGTCCTACCCCTAACCAAGAAGCTATTTGTAATTGATACCTGCTGGGAAAATCAGGTTTTTTTTTTTTTTTTTTCTAATGGAGTGCCATTGTCTATAACATCCACACTCTAGGGCATGACCTATGCCCAGGAGTACCTGGCCAATACAAAATGAACTTAATAGTGTGTGTGTGTGTGTGTGTGTGTGTGTGTGTGTGTGTGTGTATGTGTGCATGCTTATTTTGTTTTGGAGAGTTTCATAAATCATTGTTTACCTGGCACCGAGGTTCCAAGAGCGACAAACACAACTGCAGTCACAGAATCTTTCAGGCCAATGGTGCAGCCAAAGTGGGAAGCCAGATCTCCAATGAAGGCTGTGAGGAGGCCAATCATGAGGATGGAGACAATGAAACAGGCCCAGCCATTCCAGTATTCTGTAGGGGGGACGAAGGCAAACAGAACCTTCCAGAACACAGTGAGAAAGTGCATCACGTAATCAAAACAGGAAGGCAGCTTTTCCTCCCCACATTCATCGTCATCGTCATCTTCCCCTAGAAAAGAAAACAAAACAAAGCACATTTCATTAAGACCCATCTGCCAGGGACTTCTTCCATTCCTTGCATCTGCTTCTGGACTGTTGTCATGCTCCTCTGAGGGACAGGAAGCCATCAGAGGTCAATTAAGCCTAGGGCTTTCTAAAAGTCAACCATCATGAGCCAATTATTGGTCATGGCATTCAGGAACCACTTCCCTGTGGCTCAGTGGTCAGGGACAAAAGCTCACATCCAATCAATACACACTTCTTACATGCTGCTCACATTACCTCTCAGTGGGATTTAAGATTTGTTATCAGAGTGATGAAAAGATTTCTTGCCAAGAGAGAGAAGCCCCTCTGGAGGTTTGGGCAAAGTTCTAATATGACTCTTTCAGATTAAAGTCTAATTGGAGATTGGTAGTTGTATGACTTCTACAGTGTGGTATTCAGTTAAGGACCCCAAGTACAGCAACGAGCTTTTACACCACTCTGGATTGACACCCTTTAACTATTTCAAACTTTGTCTTAGCCTATTAGTATTATCTGGTTTTTATAGCCATCTCCACTTTCTCTGGCTTTAGAGCTCAAAGTGTACCCCATATTCTTACTCCTACAGCGTTCTCCTCCACTCATCTGTTAAAATGTCCCTCACCCCTCTTCAGAGTTGCAATGGCTCCAGATACTTATAACTTGGATGAATGGTTCTTGGGGTGTTCCCTGAGCAACAGCACTGGGGAATGTACTAGGAATGCAAATTCTCAATCTCATTGAATATGACAAGAAGACCTGGGCTTGAATAAACCCTCCTTGTGATTTGACTGCATGTTCTACTTTGAAAGCTGCTGCTTTATCTAAAATTAAGCCTGTCTGATGTCCTCCAGTTGACTGTGAGCCCTTTATGCATTTTTGTCTCTCTAGTATTTGGTATCATTTCCATCACTTAGATAACTATTTTGTATCCCTTGCATTTGACACTATTTCTATCACTTAGATGACCAAGTACCTGTAACTGAAGGAATGCATGCACGAATTCCCATTGTTTTACATCAGTATGTAATTACATAATACATGTATGTAGATCACAAGTTGAATACATAAAGAAATGCAGGAGGCTTGGTGTTTAAAAAGACCAGAGCATGAATAACAACAGCCTAAGATATATTTCATTGACAGGCGACGTGAGATTAGAAAATTTGCAGCAGGTGGGGCTGACTGTGTGATACCAGAATGTCAGCACTAAGCAAATGCCGATGCTCTTTGTGACATAGTCCAGGGTAAAGCCATCTGGGGCAAAAAGAAGTATGGGAAAACCCTTAAACACACTCTAGCTTGGAGAAGGGGGTGGATGTCATGTAACTTATAAAGTGGGATTCTTGGGTTTGTTCCTGGCTATACAGGAATAGAGAAGACTGCTCTTCCGTGAGCACATGGTTACAGTTATTACATAAACAGTTTGACTGTGGACAACATAGCCTTGTCTTTGAGGCCTTGAGAGGTAGCCAATAAGCATTAGGAGAATGCTTCCATGGATACACAGTATCACCTTTGGGGACTGCTTGGGTGAAGAACTTGAGTCAAGCAAACTGACAGAAAACTCTCTGGGTGAAAAAGCATGGATGACCTCCTAGGTTCATGCTGTAGGAGTGAGGACATATGTTTAATAGCCCTGTCTGAAGCCACAAAATGTTTTTTGAATAAAAGTGTCTGATACGGGCTACATTAAACTCCTCCCTCCAAATCAGTGCTAACCCAAACCCTTAGAATGCCTCTGAAGAGAAATGTGAGACAATGTATCCGAAAGACGTTGGCTCTGGGCATGGTGGCACAGTCCTGTTGTCCAGCATTTGAGAGGCAGAGGCAGGAGTTAGAGTTTGAGGGCAGCTGAGCTACACAGTGACACCTTATATTGTGCAAGCCAAGGAATTGCTTAGGAGAAACCAAACCTACTCACACCTTGATGCACAGAGAATACATTTTTTGTGTTAAGCACAAATATGTGGCAGTTTATTATGGCAGCTTTGGTCAACCAACAGTAGCTCTTTGGGATCTTCTGTGTCACCTTTTAAAGTTGGGGTGCAAGTATCAACATGTCACACTGTAGCCTCAACTATGCACGATTACATGTCACTTACAAACAAAGTAAACACTGCCCCATCATTTAGAAAATTTCCCTGCTTCCTTATTTATTCTTTATCCTTTCAATCCTGGTCTCCCCCACTTTTCTTTTATCCTTCCTTTTTTTCTCTAGATAAAACTGTAAAAGCTTCAGTTTTCATAGTTAATTTTAAGGTGGGAAGGAGATGAGATCCACTTCAGTTTTGTGTCTGACTTGAGTCTGATTCCCATCCTTCCCACTTTCTGTTTATAGACCTGTAAGAGTGTCCTCCCATAGAGTCTGCAAAAGCATTGCGATTTCCAGTCACGTTTATTTTGTATCAGATCGTTTTCTTAACTTCCATATTTTAGGGTACTTTATAATTTCTCAGGCTATATGATGATGAGAATGTTTGGTAAACACTGAATTTATATCAATCATCCACAGAAAGGAAAGAACACTCTGCTTCTGCAAAATTATTTATTTTGGGTATGATTAAGTCTCAAAGTTTAAAGAAGAACTAGAAAGCAAAGAATGAAACTTCTCAAAAGAAATGACACATATAAATCAGGAGCAGATATGATATTTATTTTCAAGGTGGAAATAATAACACCCTTCCCAGGAGGGCTGTGTCTAGGAATAATTAGATCATTTGTATCAGGGATATGAGGATACTTCAAGCTAATGATTATCAGGTTGCTTATCATTATAGCCTTCTACTTTGGCATACAGCTGTGCTTTCCCATCATTATTTCATTGCTTAGCTAGTACACTGTCTCCTAAGGTGATATTCTGCAAACTCAAAGCAACATAACATAAAGCACATGACATTTTGGTAGGTGCAGCCCTTTAATTTTCAGGAAGCAGAGGCAGGTAGTTGTCTGTGAGTTTGAGGCCTGGCTGGAGCTATATAGCAAGACCCCGTCTCAAAAACCAAGACCAAAAGACCCCCTAAATGTGGGTGTCAGTGAAGAGACATTGGAAATCTATGGGGCCTCTTGTAGTAGATCAGTACTTATCGCTACCATAGGAATGGACTTTAGGAGCCCATCCCACATGGAGGGATACTTCCTGAGCCTAGACACAAGGGCTTGGCCGAGGCCTTATCCCAAAGAATATGATAGATATTGAAGACCCCCTATGGAAGGCCTCACCCTCCCTGGGGAGCAGAAAGGGTATGGGATAGGCAGGGTGTTAGTTGGGGGGACAGTGGGGGAGGGGAGAGAGGGACCTGGGTTGATATGTAAAATAATTTTCTTTCTAATAAAAAAAGGGGGAAATAAAATATGAACAAACTGAAAAAAAAAACAAGACCAAAACATAAAGTATGTTGAGAGAGACAGAGAGAAAGAGAAAGAGATTATCCAATAGCCTTCCAGCACTATGGAGAATCATAAATGTTTTTATGCTTAAGTTCAGCATTTTAAGCAGAAGTTTGTGTTCACTTTTTTTTCCCTAGCATCTCACTGAACTTCATAAATTTTAATGATTAGCCGGCAAGTCATGTAATTAATAAAAATGACCACTTATTGCCTTGCTTGCTACCACTTATTGCTTGCTGCATAATTACCCTGTCTTACGGAAGGACAAGAGAGTATTTAGAGTGTCCATCATCAACTGGGCTATACATAAGAGTCTGTTTCTCGAAAAGAGCAACAGAACATTAGTCCTCCTCCTCCATACCTTGGGAGCATCTTTCATGCCATAGCAGGGAGGACAGCAGTCTGCTGGCTCTGTAGCCTGCCAGCCCAGGATTGCTTGAAGTTACATGCTTCCTTCACATCCCTCCTCTGCACTAGCATGGAGATAGACAAGTTGGTGGGTTTGCTTTTATAGGCTCCAAGTTAAATCCCTCTTATCTCAGAGTCCTTCTTTTCAGCTTTATAGATCCCACTAATGGAAAGATAAACAATCTGTGTTCCATTAATCCCTTCTGGAGCCTTAGAAATGGCTTCCCCGATACATGTTGGCCTCCATAAATATAACTATAAAAATAGCCAAATCATAAAATGTGAGGGTAGTGGAGAGTGCTTAACTTCTACTATTGATGTAATAACAAGGTGTTGTTGCTTCCCTGGAGCACAGAACGAGGGCATCATCTGCTCAGTGAGCCGTGGGAGCTGAGCATGAGGCTTGCCACCAGCTGATACTTTATCTTCTACAGTAAACAGGTGTTTGTTGGCATCCCTCCATAGACATGGACCTCAAGGAGTGCACTGGGAACCAGAAAAAGAAGCTGCTGGGATGTACTGCACCTGAGTCTGAAATATTACAAACCAACTTCTGTTTCTTGTTGCTTGCTTTGGGAAGACACTTCTATTTCCCAGGTTTCAGATCTATGTCTATCAAATGAGTGTGCTAACTGTAGCATCACAGTGTTGCTCTGAAGATTGGGAGAGGAAAGATCCCTGTCCTTCGCAGAAGCACGAGCCCTTCACAGATATGTACTATAGCCCAGCATTGTTGCTTGCTGACAGGAAGGCACTAAATCAATCCAGCTCCAGCAGTCTGATGTCAACAGATCTATGTACGGCTCAAGTGAATCATTGTCACCACTATTTCCTCAAGCTGATTTATTTTTAAAGAAAGGAAGGAGCAGGGAGAAGAGATATGAATGGGTGTCTAACTAGAGATAGACACTGAGCAAAAAATCAAAACGAAACAAAAAAACCCCAAACTTTTCCCATATTGACCTTATATCAACTTTACAGTAACCTTCTAAGGTAAACATTGTTATTCTTATCCTGTATGGAAGACTATCAAGCTTAGGGAATTTAATTTTTTTTTACAATAATCATTCAGTGGGTAAGTTGGGTAAGTAGCTAAGTTGTGATTTGATCTAACTCCCTGAGGGAACATATTCCTACATGATGCCTTATTGAAGCAAGTAGGGTTAGCATCAATCTCATGTTGATTCAACC